ATCGCGCACCCAACAGAACTAGGTGTTTTACCGTGATCCGAGAACATACGATAGTGTGGGTGCCTCAGAGATAATTTGATTTTACTCCCCGTTTGATGTACTAGCCTCCACGAGCAGTATATATAGTACTGTAACCACGGACGAGTGGCATTTAATCAATAACAACATTGCGACTAGTCGAGAACTCGAACCCATGTCGTTTTGGCCCTCATGGCGAGTCGCACTGTTGTTATTGATTAAATACCACTCGTCCGTGGTTAAAATAAAAGCCTTAGGCCTTTCGTGTTGAATCAACACATCACAAGGTGCTTGTAAAGTTGCTGATATGACTACAGAATATCATCAAATTCGTCCCGAGGGATGCTTCCTAACGTCTTAACAAGCACCATCGGAACGAATTTGGGACCAGATTCATCAAGTACCAGATTTATGCTCGATGAAACATTATATATATATATGTCGTGCCGAATAGGCAGAACTTGCGATCTTGGCTTAAATAGTAACGCTCATCTTGCCATATAGGACAAGTGAAAATTTGTGTATGCAATAATTTCGCCAAAATCATTCTGAACCTAACGAAAAAAAATATATTTGATTGTGTTTGTTTAGTAGTAAATTATTTTAAACGTATTTAAAATGTATTTAGTTGGGTTAGGCTAAAATAAATTGCTCTTGTTATAATAAGGTTAGGTAAGTTTTCTAAGATTCTTTTGGTGCAAAATTAAAATTTTTTACATTAACATTAATGAAAAAAAAAATCTTTAAACGTATAAGAGAAAATTTCAGAAAGGACTTAATTTTAAATGAGTTCTTGCTAATTGACCGGTTTTACATATTCGGCACGACATTATATATATATATATTATATATATATATATATTATATTTTATATATATATATATTTTATATATATATATATATATATTATATATATATATATATATATATATATATAATATATATATTGGGGTCCACCTTCTGGTGTAAATTGTGGGACCCATAGCCTCGGAGAAGTGGATAAAAAGGCTTCAAGGAAGAATATATATATATATATATATATGCAAAACAGCCACTGTGAAAGAGTTAGTGAAATTCCAAGCGCTTTCGTGACTACTCACATTGTCAAGGAAACTATGAAAGTAATACATCAAATGAAAGGCAATTAAAGGGCTTAGACCACACCTCACAGTCAACTCCCACAACAATGAAACACCTGACGTGGGACAATACCGGACTCATAAGAAAAGAGGAAACACTGCAGTAGGTCCGCTGGTCCAACTAGACAGGTCCTCACGACAACCCACCAACAAATCATTTTTACCAAGAAATATATATATATATATATATATATAAAAATATATATATATATATATATAATATATTTATATATATAATATATATATATATATATATATATATAGTAACCCCTTCTCCTGTAGACATTTACTAAAAAAGAGAAGAAGAAAAACTTTATAAAACTGGGATGCTTGAATGTGCGTGGATGTAGTGCGGATGACAAGAAACAGATGATTGCTGATGTTATGAATGAAAAGAAGTTGGATGTCCTGGCCCTAAGAGAAACAAAGCTGAAGGGGGTAGGGGAGTTTCGGTGGGGGGAAATAAATGGAATTAAATCTGGAGTATCTGAGAGAGTTAGAGCAAAGGAAGGGGTAGCAGTAATATTGAAGGATCAGTTATGGAAGGAGAAAAGAGAATATGAATGTGTAAATTCAAGAATTATGTGGATTAAAGTAAAGGTTGGATGCGAAAAGTGGGTCATAATAAGCGTGCATGCACCTGGAGAAGAGAGGAATGTAGAGGAGAGAGAGAGATTTTGGGAGATGTTAAGTGAATGTATAGGAGCCTTTGAACCAAGTGAGAGAGTAATTCTAGTAGGGGACCTGAATGCTAAAGTAGGAGAAACTTTTAGAGAGGGTGTGGTAGGTAAGTTTGGGGTTCCAGGTGTAAATGAAAATGGGAGCCCTTTGATTGAACTTTGTATAGAAAGGGGTTTAGTTATAGGTAATACATATTTTAAGAAAAAGAGGATAAATAAGTATACAAGATATGATGTAGGGCAAAATGATAGTAGTTTGTTGGATTATGTATTGGTAGATAAAAGACTGTTGAGTAAACTTCAGGATGTACATGTTTATAGAGGGGCCACAGATATATCAGATCACTTTCTAGTTGTAGCTACACTGAGAGTAAAAGGTGGATGGGATACAAGGAGAATAGAAGCATCAGGGAAGAGAGAGGTGAAGGTTTATAAACTAAAAGAGGAGGCAGTTAGGGTAAGATATAAACAGCTATTGGAGGATAGATGGGCTAATGAGAGCATAGGCAATGGGGTCGAAGAGGTATGGGGTAGGTTTAAAAATGTAGTGTTAGAGTGTTCAGCAGAAGTTTGTGGTTACAGGAAAGTGGGTGCGGGAGGGAAGAGGAGGGGATTGGTGGAACGATGATGTAAAGAGAGTAGTAAGGGAGAAAAAGTTAGCATATGAGAAGTTTTTACAAAGTAGAAGTAATGCAAGGAGGGAAGAAGAGTATATGGAGAAAAAGAGAGAGGGTTTAAGAGAGTGGTGAAACAATGTAAAAAAGAGAGCAAATGAGAGAGTGGGTGAGATGTTATCAACAAATTTTGTTGAAAATAAGAAAAAGTTTTGGAGTGAGATAAACAAGTTAAGGAAGCCTAGAGAACAAATGGATTTGTCAGTTAAAAATAGGAGAGGAGAGTTATTAAATGGAGAGTTAGAGGTATTGGGAAGATGGAGGGAATATTTTGAGGAATTGTTAAATGTTGATGAAGATAGGGAAGCTGTGATTTCGTGTATAGGGCAAGGAGGAATAACATCTTTTAGGAGTGAGGAAGAGCCAGTTGTGAGTGAGGGGGAAGTTCGTGAGGCAGTAGGTAAAATGAAAGGGGGTAAGGCAGCCGGGATTGATGTGATAAAGATAGAAATGTTAAAAGCGGGTGGGGATATAGTTTTGGAGTGGGTGGTGCAATTATTTAATAAATATATAGAAGAGGGTAAGGTACCTAGGGATTGGCAGAGAGCATGCATAGTTCCTTTGTATAAAGGCAAAGGGGACAAAAGAGAGTGCAAAAATTATAGGGGGATAAGTCTGTTGAGTATACCTGGTAAAGTGTATGGTGGAGTTATTATTGAAAGAATTAAGAGTAAGACGGAGAATAGGATAGCAGATGAACAAGGAGGCTTCAGGAAAGGTAGGGGGTGTGTGGACCAGGTGTTTACAGTGAAACACATAAGTGAACAGTATTTAGATAAGGCTAAAGAGGTCTTTGTGGCATTTATGGATTTGGAAAAGGCGTATGACAGGGTGGATAGGGGGGCAATGTGGCAGATGTTGCAGGTGTATGGTGTGGGAGGTAGGTTACTGAAAGCAGTGAAGAGTTTTTACGAGGATAGTGAGGCTCAAGTTAGAGTATGTAGGAAAGAGGGAAATTATTTCCCAGTAAAAGTAGGCCTTAGGCAAGGATGTGTGATGTCACCGTGGTTGTTTAATATATTTATAGATGGGGTTGTAAGAGAAGTAAATGCGAGGGTCTTGACAAGAGGCGTGGAGTTAAAAGATAAAAATCACACATAAAGTGGGAGTTGTCACAGTTGCTCTTTGCTGATGACACTGTGCTCTTGGGAGATTCTGAAGAGAAGCTGCAGAGATTGGTGGATGAATTTGGTAGGGTGTGCAAAAGAAAAAAAAGAAAAGTGAATACAGGAAAGAGTAAGGTAATGAGGATAACAAAAAGATTAGGTGATGAAAGATTGGATATCAGATTGGAGGGAGAGAGTATGGAGGAGGTGAATGTATTCAGATATTTGGGAGTGGACGTCTCAGCGGACGGGTCTATGATAGATGAGGTGAATCATAGAATTGATGAGGGGAAAAGGGTGAGTGGTGCACTTAGGAGTCTGTGGAGACAAAGAACTTTGTCCTTGGAGGCAAAGAGGGAAATGTATGAGAGTATAGTTTTACCAACGCTCTTATATGGGTGTGAAGCATGGGTGATGAATGTTGCAGCGAGGAGAAGGCTGGAGGCAGTGGAGATGTCATGTCTGAGGGCAATGTGTGGTGTGAATATAATGCAGAGAATTCGTAGTTTGGAAGTTAGGAGGAGGTGCGGGATTACCAAAACTGTTGTCCAGAGGGCTGAGGAAGGGTTGTTGAGGTGGTTCGGACACGTAGAGAGAATGGAGCGAAACAGAGTGACTTCAAGAGTGTATCAGTCTGTAGTGGAAGGAAGGCGGGGTAGGGGTCGGCCTAGGAAAAGTTGGAGGGAGGGGGTAAAGGTTTTGTGTGCGGGGGACTTGGACTTCCAGCAGGCATGCGTGAGCGTGTTTGATAGGAGTGAATGGAGACAAATGGTTTTTAATACTTGACGTGCTGTTGGAGTGTGAGCAAAGTAACATTTATGAAGGGATTCAGGGAAACCGGCAGGCCGGACTTGAGTCCTGGAGATGGGAAATACAGTGCCTGCAATCTGAAGGAGGGGTGTTAATGTTGCAGTTTAAAAACTGTAGTGTAAAGCACCCTTCTGGCAAGACAGTGATGGAGTGAATGATGGTTGAAAGTTTTTCTTTTTCGGGCCACCCTGCCTTGGTGGGAATCGGCCAGTGTGATAATAAAATAATATATATTATATATATATATATATATATATATATATATATATATATATTATATATATATATATATATATATATTTATATATATATATATATATATATATATATATATATATATATATATACTATTGTACTCACGGAACAAGTGGTATTGATCAATATATGTGTTGTAACAGTCTCTTTCATTGATAATAAATTAAATATTTCGTATTTAACTAATGTTTATTTTATTGTTTACATGATAGACAAAGCATAGATGATATAAATTAACAATGGTGGCCAAAATGATTGAAAGTATAATGTTCTGTACTTGAAAGTGTCTTGCTCTTCAGGTTTCGTTGATATATAATATTACTGGGGAGCACCGTAGGTTGCAGATGGACTCGAGGGTCTGCGTTCGCGGGCAGCATCTTCCTCAGCAGCGAAAGCGATCTGGTCTAAGACGAACTGTGGGATTGGGTGGGGGAAAGCAGGAGCTACTGGCAACAGGTCAGACTGAGGCTGGTAGCCGTTCTCGTCAGCAACGAACTTCACAAGGACGGGTGTTCCATCAGGAGCGGTGTAACTGTAGGGAAGATTATATTTTTTCGCTTAGTTCATACTATGAATATATGAATCAGGACTCAAGTCCGGCTAACCGGTTTCCCTGAATCCCTTCACAAAATATTTATCTGTTCACACTCCAACAGTTCCTCAGGTCCCAAAAACCATTCGTCTCCATTCACTCCTATCTAACACGCTCACACATGCCTGTCCAACCCACTTTCACACAAAACCTCTTTTACCTTGGACCTCTTTTTCCTACCCTTCGTCCCCTGCGCTTCAGATTTATACACTCTCCAAGTCATCCTATTTTGCCCTATTCTCTCTAAATGACCAAACCACCTCTACAACCCCTCGTCAGTCCTTTGAATAATACTTTAAACTCCACATCTCCTTATATATATATATATATATATATATATATATATATATATATTATATATATATATTATATATATTATATATATTATATATATATATATATATATACATAAATAAATATGTGATGCATAAATAATATTTGTAAAAAAATAGTAATACTAACGAATATTGTCCAGACTTGACCACAGACCCCTCTGGACCACTGGGAGAGCCAGCCTGAGATACAGAGATGCCATTAGCAGTTTCTACGTCAAGTTTGTAGCCACCTTCATCTCCCTGTAGAAAATCGTGTCTGAGAATGGCCACCTCTTCGCTTGACTCACTATAACGACTAGGAGCCTGTGGGGCTGCGTACTGGGGAGCGGCGGTGGCCACTGCCACAACAGCAGCGAGAAACACCTGTGTGGCAGAAAAAAAACATTGCTGTTCATGAACAATAATTTAACTTCTAATTTCTATTGGAATATTATTTTTTTCTAATTATATAATAACTTTTTTATTGTTTTTTTTTTTAATTAGCGTAACAGCTGTAAATTAAGAAATAATACTGAAGGCAGATGGCAGTGCCTGCAATTCAGTTTGTTTTTCAGTGGAAGTTGTCTAACGTTTTAGTTCGAAAGAAACTTGCTGCCTCGAGAATCTGTTATAATAAAATTAAGCAGGTTGTTGGGTAGCACGTACAAACATCATGTTATTGATAGTGTGAGGATCTAGTGCAGGCAACCTCCTCTGCCAACCTATATATACTCACAGCCACAACTCTTAGCAGTTGCCTTATGTTCTGTAACATCATATTTACAAATCCGGTTCTGGATGACCTTTTAACTCCTCCGTAATTACATAGGCTTCTGTGGCAAGATAATTGGTCCTTGAAGAACTTTTTTGAGGAACATGAATGCCTTTTGAGTAAAGATCTGACTAAGGGGGAATACGGGGTATGATATGACTAAGTCCCGCATCAGGAAACACATGAACTGTTTCCTGACGAATCTTACCTAACTTACTGATCAATAACCCAACATGAGTTTATCTCTTATAATGTTTTAATTTTTTTAAGTATATTATGAATATATTAATAACCTTAAATTATGTGTATGTTCCAGTGAATATGTAAGATCATTTCCGTGTAAATAAACTGTAATATATTGTTATTGTGGAAATGAGGATATATTCTTGATATGTCACTGTAGTTTAAGATACAGTCTGACAGGTTTGTAAGTGCTGGAAAACAAATTCTGTGTTATAAGTAAACTATAAATTCTTTTGGATTCTGTTGCCCGCTTAGAACCATGTAAGAAATGACAACCTAAAATGAAACCTAAACCTCGACTATTTGGAACCAAATTTTTTAAATACATATTTTTGTTTAATTGTTTTCATTTTGTCAACATATTTATCACTAGTAATAATATTAAGCTTACTAATTTTATATTAATATTATTATTATTATTTCTTACTACTATTATTAATATTATTATGATAAGTTCTAAACTTATAAGCGTCGTACACTGCACTGGGAATAAGAGCTAATAAGGGAAGGGAAGCCCTAATTTCTTGTGGTCAATAATATTTCGCCAGTATCAAAGTACCCTATTGAAGGGACTGCCAGTTAGAAGTACCAGGTCGACAACATGCCAAACAGCTCAAGTTGAACACTTAAGTTTTGCTCTGAGGGAACCACACCATCGTATGTCCTCGGATCACGGTACAACACCTAGCTCTGCTGGGAGGGTGATTCTTGTAGGATTGTATGGTCCCATGAGTTAGAGCGACATGAAGTTTTTGCTCACCATGAGGCGAGCTAAAACAACACGGGTTCGATCTCCCGGCTAGTCACAGTGTTGTTATTGATTAAATACCACCCGTTCGTGGTTATAAAACTATATATATTGCTTGTGGAGGCTAGTACACCAAACGGGAGCAGAAAGAAATTAGCTCTGAGGCACCCACATCATCGTATGTCCTCGGATCACGGTACAACACCTAGCTCTGCTGTGAGGGTGATTCATATAGGATTGTATGGTTCCGCGGGTTAGAACATTGTAATTTTCGCTCACTATGAGGCGGGCCAAAACGACATGGGTTCGAGTCCTTAGCTAGTCGCAGTGTTGTTATTGATTGAATACCACTCGTTTGTAGTTAGAATTAATATTATTTTTATATATTTAAATATATATATATATATATATATATATATTATATATATATATATATATATATATATTATATATATATATATATATATATATATATATATATATATATATATATAAACACGCTAAGATAACAGGGATATCTTGCTACTCCTACTTACACTTTGGTCACACTTCATAGACACGCACATGCATATATATTTATACATACATCTAGGTTTTTCTCCTTTTTCTAAATAGCTCTTGTTCTTTTATTCTTCTATTGTCCATGGGGAAGTGGAAAAGAATCTTTCCTCCGTAAGCCATGCGTGTCGTGTGAGGCGACTAAAATGCGGGAGCAATGGGCTAGTAACCCCTTCTCCTGTATACAATTACTAAAAAAGAGAAGAAGAAAAACTTTATAAAACTGGGTTGCTTAAATGTGCGTGGATGTAGTGCGGATGACAAGAAACAGATGATTGCTGATGTTATGAATGAAAAGAAGTTGGAATGTCCTGGCCCTAAGCGAAACAAAGCTGAAGGGGGGTAGGAGAGTTTCAGTGGGGGGAAATAAATGGGATTAAATCTGGAGTATCTGGAGAGTTAGAGCAAAGGAAGGGGTGCAGTAATGTTAAATTCAGTTAGGGAAGGAGAAAAGAGAAAATAAATGTGTAAATTAAAAAATTTTGTGGATTAAAGTAAAGGTTGGATGCGAGAAGTGGGTATAAAAAGGTGTATGAGGGAAAGGAGGTGCGAGGAGAGGGGGGTTTTGGGAGTTTTTAAGTGAATGTATAGGACCCCTTTAACAAGTGAGAGAGAATTGGGTGGGGGACTTGAATGCAAAAGAAGGGAAATTTTTTTGAGGGGGTGTGGTGGAAAAGTTGGGGTCCCCGGGTGTAAATATAAGGGAGCCTTTGATTGAATTTGTTAAAAAGGGGTTTTTATAGGAAAATTAATATTTTAAAAAAAAGAGGATAAATAAGTATACACGATATGATTAGGGCGAAATACAGTAGTTTTTGGATAGTTTTTGGTAGATAAAAGATGTTGAGTAGACTTCAGGGGTAATGTTTATAGAGGGCCACAGATATTCAGATCACTTTTAGTTGGTAAATGGAGTAAAAAGGGAAGGGATACAAGGGAATAGAAGCACGGGAAGAGGAGGGGAAAGGTTATAAATAAAAAAGGAGGGAGTTAGGGTAAGATAAAACAGCTATTTGGGGATAGATGGGGTAAAGAGAGATAGGGAATGGGGTTGAAGAGGATGGGGTTTGGTTTTAAAAAAGTAGTTTAGAGGTTCAGCAGAAGTTTGTGGTTACGGAAAGGGGGTGCAGGAGGGGGAAAAGGAGCGATTGGTGGGAATGATGATGTAAAGAAGTAGAAGGGAGAAAAAGTTGCATATGGAATTTTTACAAAGTAAAGTGATGCAAGGAGGAAGGTATATGGAGAAAAAGAGAGAAGTTAAAAAGAGTGGTGAAGCAATGTAAAAAGAGAGCAAATGAGGAGAGTGGGTGAGATGTTATCAACAAATTTTGTTGAAAAAAAGGAAAAAGTTTTGGAGTGAGATTAACAAGTTAAGAAAGCCTAGAGAAAAAATGGATTTGTCAGTTAAAAATAGGAGAGGAGGGGGTTAAATTAAATGGAGAGTTAGAGGTTTTGGGAAGATGGAAGGAATATTTTGAGGAATTGTTAAATGTTGTGAAATAGGGAAGCTGTGATTTCGTGTATAGGGCAAGGAGGAATAACATCTTGTAGGAGTGAGGAAGAGCCAGTTGTGTAGTGGGGGGGAAGTTCGTGAGGCAGTAGGTAAAATGAAAGGGGGGTAAGGCACCCGGGGATTGATGGGTTTAAAGATAGAAATGTTAAAAGCAGGTGGGGATATAGTTTGGAGTGGTTGGTGCAATTATTTAATAAATGTATGGAAGAGGGTAAGGTACCTAGGGATTGGCAGAGAGCATGCATAGTTCCTTTGTATAAAGGCAAGGGGATAAAAGAGAGTGAAAAAATTATAGGGGGATAAGTCTGTTGAGTGTCCCTGGTAAAGTGTATGGTAGAGTTAAAATTGAAAGAATTAAGAGTAAAAACGGAAAATAGGATAGCAGATGAACAAGGGGGCTTTAGGAAAGGTAGGGGGTGTGTGGGACCAGGGTGTTTTACAGTGAAACATATAAGTGAACAGTATTTAGATAAGGCTAAAGAGGTCTTTGTGGCATTTATGGATTTGGGAAAAAGGGGTATGACGGGTGGATAGGGGGGCAATGTGGCAGATGTTGAAGTGTATGGTGTAGGAGGTAGGTTACTGAAAGCAGTGAAGAGTTTTTACGAGGATGTGAGGCTCAAGTTAGAGTATGTAGGAAAGAGGGAAATTTTTTCCCAGTAAAAGTAGGCCTTAGACAAGGATGTGTGATGTCACCGTGGTTGTTTAATATTTATTTGATGGGGTTGTAAGAGAAGTAAAAGCGAGGGTCTTGGCAAGAGGCGTGGAGTTAAAAGATAAAGAATCACACACAAAGTGGGAGTTGTCACAGCTGCTCTTTTCTGATGACATGTGCTCTTGGGAGATTCTGAAGAGAAGTTGCAGAGATTGGTGGATGAATTTGGTAGGGTGTGCAAAGAAGAAAATTTAAAAGGGGAAAACAGGAAAGAGTAAGGTTTGAGGATAACAAAAAAATTAGGTGATGAAAGATTGAATATCAGATTGGAGGGAGAGAGTATGGAGGAGGTGAACGTATTCAGATATTTGGGAGTGGGTGTCAGCGGATGGGTCTATGAAAGATGAGGTGAATCATGAATTGATGGGGGAAAAAGAGTGAGTGGTGCACTTAGGAGTCTGTGGAGACAAAGAACTTTGCCCTTGGAGGCAAAGAGGGGAATGTATGAGAGTATAGTTTTACCAACGTCTTATATGGTGTGAAGCGTGGGTGATGATGTTGCAGCGAGGAGAAGGCGGGAGGCGTGGAGATGTCATGTCTGAGGGCAATGTGTGGTGTGAATAAAAATGCAGAGAATTCGTAGTTTGGAAGTTAGGAGGAGGTGCGGGATTACCAAAACTGTTGTCCCAGGGCTGAGGAAGGGTTGTTGAGGTGGTTCGGAATGTAGAGAGAATGGAGCAACAGAATGACTTCAAGAGTGTATCAGTCTGTAGGGGAAAGGGAAGGCGGGTGGGGGGTCGGCCTGGGAAAAGGGTTGGAGGGAGGGGGTTAAAGGAGGTTTTGTGTGAGGGGCTTGGACTTCCAGCAGGCATGCGTTTAGCGTGTTTGATAGGAGTGAATGGAGACAAATGGTTTTTAATACTTGACGTGCTGTTGGAGTGTGAGCAAAGTAACATTTATGAAGGGATTCAGGGAAACCGGCAGGCCGGACTTTAGTCCCGGAGATGGGAAGTACAGTGCCTGCACTTTGAAGGATGGGTGTTAATGTTGCAGTTTAAAAACTGTAGTGTAAAGCACCCTTCTGGCAAGACAGTGATGGAGTGAATGATGGTGAAAGTTTTTCTTTTTCGGGCCACCCTGCCTTGGTGGGAATCGGCCGGTGTGATAATAAATAAAAAAAAAAAATATATATATATATATAGTATATACCGAGAGAGAGAAGCAGAGGTAGAGCGCGCGCATATGACTCTTGTTGACTTACTAACGGAAATATTGCAATCACCCCAGAATTTAGTGGCCTTAACTCTCATAGCGGAAGCAAAAACTATTGACCTCATTGCCAGAACAGCTGGAGTACTATGAGAATATTTGCGGCCGGCAACTGCTTACATGGCTTGTTGTATAAATACTGTAGTCAGAAAGATGCCCTATCACAGATCCTCAGTGCCAGACAATATGAAGTTTGTAAGTACCTGCTGGAGATTTGATAAAAATATGTTTTTGCTATAAAGTGAAAACCATATTTGTTCAGAAAATAATTTATAATCTGTATTTGATTGCATTTTTTAAATCAAAATATTTTTTTTTGTTTTAGTTCTTCATAAATGTATATGAATTTCTTGTAATAATGGAAATACTTTTTAATTTCTTTGATGAACTCTGTCTACACACAGGTAATTCTCACTGTAGTTGTGGCTGTGGCCAGCGCTGCACCTCAGTACTCAGCCCCTCAGGCTCCTAGTCGCTACAGTGAATCAAGCGAAGAGGTGGCCATTCTGAGACACGATTTTGTACAGGGAGACAACGGCGATTACAAGCTTGACGTAGAGACTGCTAACGGCATCGTCGTTGCCCAGTCCGGCTCTTCCGATGGTCCAGAAGGCGCTGTAGTCAAGTCTGGACAATATTCGTGAGTACTGTATATAATCCCAAGAGTATTTTATTTTCAGATATCTCTGTTCTCGATAATACAGATACGTTAACAATATTAGTACAAAAAAATCTTTCACAGGTACACTGCTCCTGACGGCACTCACGTCGTTGTAAAGTTCGTCGCTGACGAAAACGGCTACCAGCCACAGTCTGATCTGCTGCCAGTGGCTCCTGCCTTCCCACATCCAATCCCTCAGTTCGTGTTGGACCAGATCGCCTTTGCTGCTGAGGAAGACGCTGCCCGCGCTCGCGGCAAGTCCTCTGGTCCTTCTGCCACGTATGGTGCTCCTCAGTAA